TCTTAGTTGAACTAAACAACTTTTTTAGTCTTGGGAAGAGGTCAAGTGAAAGGTTTGTGGGACACTGATTACTGCTATATACTTGCCAGCAAGGTAGAGAACCTTTGGTTCTTCAGAAGTTTTGAACTACTACTTATTTGTTGTTGGCCATACTCAAGGTGACTGATGGGAACAGTACACTAAGTGTTGAGAGGGCCAAGAATTTTCCACCTTTGGATTGCAGCAAAGTTCCAGGCACATTTAATGAAAAATAACTCCCATTTATTAAATGAAATTTATTGCTAGATAAAGGAGCATAGCACCTCATCTTTGGCTTCCATAAACAAGTGTCACTGTGGATCAGGCTCTTGGATGGGAGATGACAGAGGACCTTATTGTTTTTTTTTCCCCCAGAGGAAATGAAAAGTTATGATAATCTCACAATTTTCTACATTATTATCATATACCTTGTTGTGCTAATCTCTGCGTGCTATGGTAAGTTACAGTGGGAACAAACCCATGTTGAGAATGATGCATGAAGAAAACAAAAAAGATTGGCTTGTTGGGTGATACATTAACCAAAATAAGACTTATCCCGGCAATTGTCTAGCTATGAGTCCAAACATTTGTTTGCCCCAGAGTTGAATACACAGGGATCTAAACTGAGAATTTCAAGAGTTACGGTACATACTCAAAGTGTTAGGCATGTCAGCCTTTATACCCGAGTGGACAACTTTTGACTCTCTGAATGATTCTGGACTACAACCAACATCACCAGATGGTGACAGATGCAATCCAACAACATCTAAATGATTCTGGACTACAACCAACATCACCAACAGATGGCGACAGATGCAATGCAACAACATCTGGAGGGCCACAGGTTCCCCTTTCCTGCTTTACTCCAAGGATGGGGAAGATGTGGCCTTTTGTATGTTACTCAATTATAACTCCCATCATCCCTTTGCACTGGTCCTGCTGGCTGCAATTGGTGGGATTTGCACTTCAATATTATCTAAGAGGTGTTTGGAGAGCAAGTGAGGTGTAGTGGACAGATTGATGGACTAGGATTGAGACTTGGGTTTAAACCTCCATTTGGCCACTGAAAATCATTGTGGGGGTAGCAATGGTAAAGGCATGTCTTAAATATCTTTCATACATTGAAAATGCTATAAGTTTGATATGGCATTCCAGTTGAACTATTTAAAATCTTAAAAGATGACGCTGTTAAGGTGCTACACTCAATATGCCAGCAAGTTTGGAAAACTCAGCAGTGGCCAGAGGATTGGTCTACATGCCAATCCCAAAGAAGGGCAGTGCCAAAGAATGCTCCAACTACCATACAATTGCACTCATTTCACATGTTAGCAAGGTTATGCTCAAAATCCTACAAGGCAGGCTTCAGCAGTATGTGGACCAAAAACTCCCAGAATTACAAGCTGGATTTCGAAGCCAGAGAGTTCCAGAAAAACATCTACTTCTGCTTCATTGACTACGCAAAAGCCTTTGACTGTGTGGACCACAGCAAACTATGGCAAGTTCTTAAAGAAATGGGAGTGGCTGACCACCTTATCTATCTCCTGAGAAATCTATATGTGGGACAGGAAGCAACAGTTAGAACTGGATATGACTTGATGATGTATACGAACATGAACATATTCTCCACCTCTGCTTTACAATGATTTTTTGCAAATATTTGAGAACGAAACTGTCCCTACAAAAAGTTCTGTCCATTGTGGATTTTTTGCTTATACCTTCATTATTTAATACATTTGGTGTTGAACCAAAAATGTTTAAGGTTAATTTGTTTCATAAGATACTTAGCACCTTTATGATTGTAATGACATTGCATAGATTTGATAAAAAGGCATACACTGGGCTTTAATGACCCTAAACTCTATGAGGCAGTGCTCACAAGTTCTGTGGGTAAATGGTCAGCAACCACACATCTTCAAACAAGGCTCAATGTTTGAACAAGTTGTGTTTCATGTGCTCCATGTCGCAGCCTTTGTTGATTCTTCACATAAATGAAGGGAAATTGCAAATAAAAAACATCCTGGAGCAGTACCATCTGTTCCATGGAAGTTTACAGGAACAGCATTTTCTTAACAACATGAAACTGGAAAGCTAAAATTGCTCTGCTCCCCCCCCGCAAAGTGCTTATTCTGAAGTTGTACTGTATGCATCCAGCAGTAAATCACATCTGCCAGAGTACTGGATATATTTTGTACTAAGCGTCAATACATAAAACATGTTTGCTAATTGTAATTCCCTTCCCTGGGGGAGCATGTGTTCTCCCAAAGACTGTTTTTGTGGTACCCATCCTCCCAACCCCATAGCCAGTTTTTCTCCCTTGGGGAAAATGGTGTACTATAAACCATATTTAGAGATGCAATTCATTTTTCAAATTAGTGCCTGCATGCAATCCAAAATATGTTTTTCTCCCTGCAACTTCCCATTTTGTTCTTTTTGATTTTTTGGTAGCATGTGTCTCCACCAGAGGATCCCAGGATCTACCAATGTTGCCCACTTAGCCATAAACCCTATGGAGGTATGTTACATGTATTAGAGGGTAGTGCTGACTATGCTTGCAGAGCCCCCAAGCCTTTGATAAACCAATGAACTGGATGTGTCAGACACACAGAATCCTCTTGCTTGCATATGCTTACAAAGCATAATCATATGCTTTTAAAACAGAATCTTCTTATAAAACACACTCTTATGCTTACAAAGCACAATTGATACATCCTAATTGAAAACAGCACGTACATCATCACTCAGGCTTATATACACTGGAATCCATACAAACATTGTGTTCAACCAGTGGAATTTGGGACAATGGAACAGCATGTTAGCATGAGCTGGACATATGGAATAATGAAATCTGCATATTGTTATGTACGCTGACATTTATACTTACAAAAAAAGTTTCAGAGAAGTGGAGGAGACTTAGGTCAAAGTTAAAGTTGCCCCACTTGGAAATTGCCCTGCTATGTAAAGAAAATGAATCAGAAAATGGACTTGTGTTTAATTTTATAGATACATTCTAGATTTTTACCAGAAAATACAATCTTTGATTTCTAGCCCTTCTCTGTGCCTTCTGCTGTTTCTTTCATCTTTTTTTACCAGAATAAAAAAATTAAAGAGGGAAAGACAGAATAGCTGCACATTGTCTTCTGAGTGGTAGTACTAGTAAACACCCATGCTAAATTTACAGTACAATAAACCTACTTATGAAGCATACCCACAATATATGTGTGTGTGTGTGTGTGTGCGCGCGCGTGTGTAGGGGCCTACACTTAAATTGTGGAAGTGGCAACAAGTGGACGTTCAACAAGGGAAGGCAAGAAATCTTTAGCATACAAAGTTTCTGCCTGCTGTATAATAGTACAAAATGCTGATGGAGGGGGCAAAGAAGATGGTATCCAGTATTATGTTGTGCTTCAATCAGTGACCCTTGCCCGGCCTGGCTAATCAAAGCAGCCAGGCCTATAACAACAGAACAGGCCACAGCAATAATTAATGGGTCTCTCCAGGAGGGCAAGGTCCCCCTTGCCCTCAAGGAGACACTCATTAGGCCCATTAGGAAGAAACCAAATTTGGCGGCAGACAATATTGGCAATTATAGGCCTGTCGACAATGTTTCCTTCCTCAGTAAATTGGTGGAGAGGGTAGTGGCTGATCAGCTTCAGGCTCTTTTGGATGAAATCAATGCCCTGGATCTGTTCCAGTTTGGCTTCAAGCCATGCCACAGAAATCCCTGGATCCGTTCCAGTTCGGCTTCAGGCCATGCCACAGAAACGGCACTGGTTGCACTGGTTGCACTGTTGCCCTCACCTGTTGAGGGAGGCTGACAGGGGCAAAATGTCCTTGTTCGTCCTTCTCAGTATCTCAGCTGCCTTTGATACCATTGACCACAGCATACTCCTGGGGAGGCTCTCCGAGCTGGGAATTGGTGGCCTGGCTCCATTCCTTCTTGGAAGCCCATCCTCAGAGAGTACAGCTTGGGGAGAGTGTTTCAGTCCCATGAAGTCTCCACTGTGGGGTTCCACAGGGCTTGATTATCTCCCCAATGCTGTTTAATATCTATCTGAGGCTGCTGGGTGGGGTCATCAGGGGGTGTTGGGCCCTATGCCATCAGTATGCTGATGACACACATCTCTACATCTCCTTTTCACCTACCTCAGTGGATGCTGTTCTGTCCCTTCAGTGCTGTCTGGAGGCTGTACTGCAATGGATGCAGGAGAATGGATTGAGGCTGAACCCGGACAAGACGGAGGTCCTGAGGGTGGGTGCTATTTGATCTGTTTAATTGTAAGTATTCTTTCTATCATTAATGCCTCAGGGTGAGTTACTGAGACTGTAAGAGCCAATGAGAAAAGGGGTGGTCTACTTGGGGAACTTCAAGCTATTCTGTTCTGTGGATGCCTGCATTTCTGCTGTGCAGCTAGATGAATTCGACATTTTTTTTTCAAAACTCAGCAATGGTCACAGCGGCTTAAAACCCCCCAAAGGTAGGAGTCTTGAAAGAGGACATGAAACTCTTGCTTCCGTTCTTAGTAATAGTACTGAACAAAACGTCCAGAAACACAACCGCGTGAACTCTCCGCCAAAGCACGGACACCGGCAGCCTCCCGCGTAGTTCGCGTCCACGCTACGATGCTCGCTTTCCGCGTAAACGTTTTCAATAACGTCCCAGCTGCTAAGTGCCGAGGCGACCTCCACGATCGGGGAGAAGACACTTCCATGTTCCAAAGCTTCCATGTCGAATGACATCCTCTGGGGGAGGGACGAAATGGCCCTCCTACCCTTTCTGGTAACACGAACATCTCCAGCCCTCCCTCAGGGCGCTTTTCTCTCCGTAAACAACTCTCCCTCTTCGCCTCTCTCAGACGAGGTAATCTGAGGTCACGAAGATACAGCAGGAACTAAATTGAGCATGCGCAACACACCCCTTGGACCGCTTTCCAAGGTGCATGCGCACAGCGACGTTTTCTTCGGTCCTCCCCTCCCTGACGGCAGCTCCTGACGAAGAAGGGGAATCACCACCGACTTCATCGGTGTTGTAGTATGAGGCTACTGCGCATGCTTAGGAAAGCCCGGGGGAAACACAAGGGCCTTGCCGACTCAGGCGTCGCTATCACTGCGGTTTGTCCCTTACCCTCGGCGCACGCGCAATACAGCAAATCTTCTCCGGGCTTGGCGGCGATTGCTGCTGTTTTGCCGGTAAGCGCGAGAGCCGCGCATGCGCGATAGCTGAAGGCCCCCCCACCTTAGGCCTGGTGGCTGCTGCTAAAGGGAAGCTAGGGGCTGTCTTGTCTGTCTGTGTGGCGGTGGGCGGCTGGAGGATGAACAGCGTCAGGGCAGGCTGAGACACGCGAAGCACCGTAAGGACACCCCCGCGCGTCCGGTGGCGGTTACTGCTGTTGCTGAAGGGAGTCTTGGGTGTGGGGGTGGCGGGCTCCCGGTTAGTGTGCTGAGGTAAACTTTGACCGGCGGGCGGGCGAGTGCGTGCGACGGCGGATTGGCGCAGACCTATGATCTCAGGGCGCCCCCCCAACACACACACACACGCCTCAAGTTGAAGGCCTTATGTGACCCGCCGTTGGACGCCTCTGAGGGGAAGCCCGTCTGGTTCGCCTTGCTGCCCTCTCACTATTCGGGCACCGTAGTGAGGTGGAGACGGACTAGGTGGGTGTTTCATAACGGAGACCGAAGCCATTATTAGTAGCTTTTCTGTAGAAAGGCTGGCTGCGCCTATTTGCTTTTGCACGGTGCTGGCGCCCCCGTTTGCACAAGCATGCCGGGAGTGGCTTGGGATAGGTTGGGAGTACTGTATCCTATACTGTATGTTTCAGTTTTCTAAACTACCGGTGCTATTCTCCCGGCGAAAGTAAACTTTGGGGTGTAGCTAGCTAGGTTTGTCTCTTCCCAGTCTTCCGAATTAGAGCATGCAAAGATATGTTTTTTTTCTTTATCATGGTAGATCTTCGAGGCCGTCCGTCTTATTTGAATACTGGTGATACAGGCGAGGAGGAGATCCTAGTCCCACTTGTTTATGAGCAAATCTAGGGCATTGAATCAAGTCGAGTTGCACACATTCTTTCATTTTTTTCACCATGGCTAAGATCCTTACTTGCTCTCTCTTTAGCAGGAGATGAGAGTGCTAATGTGTTCAAGTCAGTTGCAGTGATGCAAGTTGACGCTGGAGTAAATAAACAATGTACAGTAATCCAACTTCTTAGTGCACTTTGGTTCTGAGCTCTTCAACCATATTTCTGTTATTATATTGTATGATGGTATGATAAGTTAGTGCAGAGTAGTTTCAAGCTTGTTTCCTGATGTTTTTAATAAGTTGCAAAAAAGGTTGAACCTCTAAGCAGACGTAAGTGTAAGTAAATTTTGTTCAAAACTGAGTTTTTTAAAAAAGAAAACATGCTTTTGTTCAGAATAATATATTGGAAAAAGAAAACTGGCATAAATTACATAAATACATTTTCATTGTTAACATATGTAACACACTTTGAATAAAGCACAGTATAATGGAGAGGCTGGCTACATGGGAGTTTATCATACTCTGCACTTATTTATTTATTTATTTGATTTATATCCCACCCATCTGGTATATTTATACCACTCTGAGCAGCTAACAACAGTATATATACAATTAAAATAATATAAATCCATGAGCATCGATTATTGACAAAACATACTAAAAATAATAAATGATAGGTAAAAAGGTAAATGTTCACCTTGCCATTTAGTCCAGTCTGAACA